GGCGTCCCCCACCAACGCACAACTCGATGCGCATAGGCGTCGAGGGCTTTGACATCGGCTTCGACGCGGAGCGCGTGAAGGAGTTCTTTGTGCCGGGCGAGGACGCGAAGCGGCCGAGGGCGCAGGCTCCCGAGTCATTCGCCGCCAAGAAGAAGCGGGGCGATGGCCAGAGCCAGCCACTGCGGCGGGGCGATCGGTCGCCTGGGGCATCGCCGCTGCGGCCGGCGCCCAACCGGGGAGTCTGAGGCCGCTCTCCGTACTGGCATGACTGTTACCATTGTGTCCATGAGCTTTGTCAGGGGTCCCCGACGCTCTTGCGCTGCGTGTGAGCTGCGGCGTGTGCATAGTACGTTTTGTACCAGAGAGGTTCTAATGCACAATGGGATCTGCGCGGGGGGGCATTTTGTGTTGCTTCGGCTAGTCATATGCAAGGCATAGTGTTTTTCCGCCCCGTGCAAAACACCCCTCTGGCTAGCCCTCTCCCTCTCCACGCGGCACGCGGGGGGGCGGGGCGGGGCGGGGCGGGGGGGGCGGGGGGCGAGTGAGAAATCATGCACCGTTCGTCGCGTAGTGTGAGAAAGAATCGAAAGACACAATGTAAGAAAAGCTCCTTCCAAGAGACGAATATAAATACTCATGAACACACAGACAGCACTTAGTAATCAGTCACTGCCGAAACGTGAGACGAAGATGGAAGCGTCACGCCAGAAGCGCGAACCGAGCTTGCGATGGACCCAAGCATCATCTCAGCGAACATGTTGACGTCGCTTCCGAGCTCGTGCACCTTGAACTCGCGGCGGCTGTTCTTGTGCGCCTCCCTGAGTTTGCCGACCATCTTGTCCGTCGAGCTGTTGATCTTGAAAAAGTAGAAGGCAACTCGCTTGTCGCCCAGGCGCGTCATCAGTGCGGCCGGGTCGGGGTCCTGCGGGCCGTCGTGGTTGTCGCCGAGCCCATCGTGGTACTCAGAGCCGTGAGCTGGCGCGTCGGCGACGTGCACGAGCATCTTGATCCTCGAGGACCACGTCATGCCCAGCGCCTTCTCCAGGCCGCCCGCCACGTCCTCCGGTATGTCGATGTCACCGTTGGGGCAATCCGTGCTCGCCCGAGTGTGTGCAATGAACTGCTGCAGATCGCGAATCCCGTCGTCTCCACAGACAAAGTCCTTGACGGCAAATCGCTCGCGGTGTCCGTAGTCGCGGTAGCCGACGAAGGCCACGCGCAGGTCGACATGGAACTTTTCGCGCGCTTGGTCGACCACCAGCGCCATCTTGTCCTTGGCAGCCTGGATGTAGGGGCCCATAGAAGCTGTGCAGTCCATCAGGATGCAAAGGTCGACGCCGGTCTCGGCCTGGCTGACGGCGCTGGCCTGGATGGAAGCGATCTTCGAGGCCGAGGCGGCGCGGGTGCTCGCGCTGAGGGAGCGGGCGGCGATCTTCTCCCGCTCAGCGTTGAGCGCCTTGATCTGGTCGGCGGTGGACCCGCCCTCGAGCGTGCCAGCCCGCGTGCTTGCGCTCGAGGTCCACGCCCTAGTGGAGGCGCTGCCGCCGCCCTTGGTGGCAGCCGAGGCGGACGAGCCTGCGCCCACGTCGCCGCGAGGCGCAGGCGGCGCCGCAGCCGCCGCTGTCGCAGGGCCCGAGGCGGCAGGCTGAGCAAAGGGCTGCGGGTTGACGGGCTGGCTGGTGGGCGCCGGCTGCTGTCCCATCGCCATTTGCATCATCTGCATGAAATGGGGGCTCTGCATGAGCGCCGGGTTGCTCTGCGCCATGCTCGTCATCATCTGCATCATCTGCATTTGCTGCGAGCCGGCAGCATCTGCAGGCATGGTCGCGCCCATCATCGGCGGCATACCCATCTGCTGCATCGGCGGCATGCCGGGCATGCCCGGCATGCCCGGCATACCTGGCATGCCTGGCATGCCCATGGGTGGCATGCCCATCGGCGGGGCAGGCATGCACAGTGGAAACGCTCCACTCCCGCTCACGCTCTGGCGAAGCGTCTGTATCTCTCGATCGAGTTCTGTCTTCTCCGACCTGTACTCGCGCTCGGTCCGCTCCGCCTGCGCCTCGAGCCTGGCCATCTGGGCGGTCATGCTAGCAATGACACCCTGCAGCTCATCGACGCTCTTCCGGGGCATTGGGCCCGGGGGCGCACGCACAAAACCAAGTTGTGGATGCGTCGCCAAGGAGGCCCGCCGTTTCTTTCGTATGCTCATCTGAAGCAACTCCGCCGGCTGTAGCAATAGCAGGTTCCGCACGCTGCCGCTTGTTCCTTTTGTAAAATCTCACACGCTGAGCCTCCACACGCAGCTACCTCCACCGAAAAAGCGATGACGCAATCTCTATAACGGCGGCGGCGGCGTCATTCCATGTAGTGCGTCTAGAGCCGCGGCGGGCTGAGGTCGGAGCAGTTGTTCTGGTTGCGATAGCCTGTGGTTCCCGCGCCGGCGCACCTGCGCCTTGTCCGCTCTGCCCTGCCTGGACGCCCTTCTTCTCCGCCCCAGTGGCGACCAGTCCAGGCGGCGTTTCCGGGTGGTGCGACCGTGAAGGGTTGGCGGTCCCCGGCAGCGGTGACACCGTCCCGTTAGGCGCCGCCGACGGCCCAGTGAGCATTGCCACCTGGAGTGCCTCAAAATCATCACCAGCGCCGCCGCGGTCACCGCCGCCACCACCTCCGCCGCGCCCTCCCCTGTCGCCTCCGCGCCCTCCCCCGTCGCCTCCGCTGGTGTTCAACTGTGGCGGCTTAGGTCTGATCGCCCCGTCGATGCAAAGAATCGTCTTTCCGTGTATATTCAGGTCTGGCTGTGGCCTCCACGCGTTTTGACGCCGGAATTGCAGTGAGCGGAGCTTCTGCACAGTCTGCATCCATTGCGGAGTCTCAAAGATACCGCTTTGGCGCACCTCAGAAATAAGCCAGATCGGATATTGAGCGTTGCATGACTCGGCGAGTAGTCGTGCTGCTCGGCATCGCAGATTGTCCTCTTCTGTTCTGGGCTCGGCGTCGACATACCGGGTACTTTTGCCAGCGAGCAAGCAGATTCGCAACAACAACTCTGGCAGCTGAAGGGACCGCTCGTGTATCACACGCTTTTGTAGCTGTCTGAGATACACTTCGCAGAGCTTGATGCTGTCAAGAAGCAGAGCCTTATCGTCGCCATTGGCAAGGATGAGTTGTTCCGAGCACCGCAGCGTGTGGACAAGAAGAGACTCCAGCTGCGGAGCGCGTACCTTGTCACTGTAGCACAAGTCCGCTGTCGCAGCCAGCAGCTTTGGCTCTGGCTGTGAATCGGTGTCTGCAAGCCCTTTTTGAAGCAGCCTCAGCATTTCATCATTCGATCTGGTAGGGAGATTTCTGCTCGCGACCATCGCACAGAGGAGTTGCATACAACCAGAGCTTGGTTGGACGGCATCACAGATCGATCGCTGAAGTTGGAGAAGGAACTGCTTGACGGCCTCGTGCCTGAAGACACGGCCCTTACTACACTCACCAACCAGCTCAATCACGTCCTCCGAAGAGGCGTGCCCTTGACATAGCATCACAAAGAACCTTGCATTGTCCGAGCTCTTGAGGAAGGAGGCGAGGCTCCAAAGCGCAGTCCCGGGAACCGTGACGCGACCAAAGGAATGATCTTCTTGACCCCGAGGGATGGCTGCTCCACTAGAATACTGCGGACGGCCGAGAGCAGTTGTTGACTCGGATCCAGCTCGGGTGATGGCAAAGCAGCTGAGCCGGATGCCGTCTGCTGCGCCGCATCAACCTCCACCTCCACGTCCATCGGGTCAACCTCGACCTCGTTTTGGCTGCAGTCGTCCATGACTGCATCAGGTAGAGCGTGTGCGACAAGTGTTGCTGGCGGCATTGCGCGGTCGTCTGATGCTAGTGCCATGTGTCGTGTGTGCCAGCCAGGGGAACGTGGAAGTTACGCCGCCAACGTCCTTTCCCGGATAGGCACGTGCTCTCTTGTTCAGCCGGCCTAACGTTAGCTACTGTTGTTGGGGAGCCCCACTGTTGTTCTGTTGTTACTGTTAACAACTAGCAACACTGTTCACAGCTCCCAACGTTAAACAGCTCTACACCTATGATAATTCTTGCCACCTCTCCTTTTTACATACATAACATAGATCATAGTGGTGTCTGGTTTATGCACACCTCTCTGGCCTGCAGCACTTCCTTTTTGACAACGTACCGAAAAAGAGTCTCTCGGTCTCCGCGCACCTCTCTGGATCCAGCGTCGTGTAGCTTCTACAATTTGAACGAGGCGCCGTCCGCCGCCCCTGCCCCTTGCGCCGCCTTTCGGGCGTCGGCGACGCGCTGCCGCTTGGAGCCGGCGAGGCCGCCGGGCGCCTGGCTCGCGGCCTGCATGCTGCTGAAGAAGGCCTTGGACGAGCTGCGGCCGCGCTGCTTCCCGCTCGAGAGAGGCCCCGACGTGATTGTGCCGCGCCGCTTGGCCTCGGCCAGCTGCTCCCCGACCCGATCCGCCTCCTGCCGGCGCGCCGCCGCGCCGCCTGGCTGCGCCTCGGCGCGCAGCGTCCGCTGCTCGGCGCTCTCGGCCGTGCGCCGCTTGTGCACGCGCTTCTTCTTTGAGCGGAGCGCCTTCCGCTCGCCCTGCGAGAGCTCTGCGCGGTCGGCGAGCGCCTTGTCGCTCCGCTTGCGGCCGTACACCTCCTCGGGGGCCAGCGTCGAGCTCGCGGCGAGGGCCGTCGGCACCTTCTCCTCGAGCGAGACGGCGGGCGCCTGGGGGGGGGGGTCCGGGAGAGGTCTGGGAGAGGACTTGGAGGCGGCAGCCTCCTCGAGCGAGACGGCGGCCGCGCCTCGGTGCGGATGGTCACCTCGCGCTTCGCGGGGGGCGGCGCGTAGTGGAAGGAGAAGAGCGGGTCGAGGCGCGAGTCGAGCTTGGCGAGCAGTGCGCGCGCCTCCTCGTGCGCCTTGGCCACCGCGTCCGCTCCCTTGGAGCCGAGCACCTGCTCGCAGCGGCAGGCGTGAAGAGACACTGCTCAGCGGCGTCCGCGGCATTTCCTCGGAGGTTCGCGCGTTCGTCTCGAAGGCGGCGGCGTACTCGTCGCCGAGCCCCTTGTCGCTCTTCTCGAGCGACAGGTCGGCCGGCTTGGGTCGGAAGTCCGTCGGCTTGAGCGCGGCGCGCCGCACGACGTCGTCCCACAGCCCGTCCTTGCAGCGCGCGCGGATGACCTCCTCGATGGAGCGCGTCGACTCCTCGCTCGGCGCCATCGCCGCCTGGGGACGGGACGGGCGGACAGGCGGGCTTGCGGTCGGACAATCCGAGTCGAACGCGCATTGAGAGGCGGTGGGGCTGGGAGTGGGTCGCGGCTCCCGGTGGGGCGGGCAGGGCCGGGCGCGGGCGGCGCGCGGGCAGTTCGCTCGCCTTTGCGGCGGCGCCGGGCTGGTCGAAGTCGAGGACCGTCTCGAGCAGCGAGTTGGCCGGCCGCTGCTGCCCGCTCACCTCTCCGCGCAGCTGCCACGGCTTCTCTGCGAGCTGCGCGTGCTCGAGCTCCGAG